CACGTGATCGCCCGGGCCCCGCCCCCTCCCTTTAAAGGCGCCGCGCGGGAGCCTCTTAAAGGAGCCGCTCCCTTTTTAAGTATTTTGGGGAGGGCGGAAAAGATGAGGCCGGGCCTGACCCCCACGGTCAAACCCAGCCCCACACCGTTAACGAGAGCTCCCCAGTAGCACCCGGCCCTGGAAGGAGGAGCTCACCTCACCCTTCCCTCATTAAACACAGCCCAGCCTTTTACTGATGATGTATTTTTATTGTTGAGGCGAAGAGTAAGGAAAAGTTACAGTACAGAAACTTAAATTAACCATCAGCAGCTCTGCCCAGAGCAGGGGCACTTCCACCACACATCAGCCCTTTGCCCAGGTTGATGTTTTTTCCACCCCCCCCAATCCCTCCCACAAACCTTCCCCAGCTCAGCCTCAGGCCGGGGTCGCTGCACCGAGCTCTTCCCGCAGCCGAACGCGACGTGCCCGGCTCTTCCCTGCGCCAACCGGACCCCTCTTATTCCTGGGCTGCCTCTGGCGCCGCCGGCTGCTTGCTCTGCTCGTCGCCCTTCTTTTTGTGCCCCGAAACGATGTCATCGATGCGGAGGAGGAGAACTGCAGTCTGGGGACAAAACCCATACCCAGGAGCTCAGCACCAAGAGTAAAATCCGATTTACCCAGCTTTCCCAGCAAAAAAACCAGTAAATTATCAGCACTCTGAGTAAATTACTCTCCCTTTGAGCAGCTGCCTTTGGTCTAACACCAGGGAGTGAATGATTAAAGCGTAGTCTGTTAACGAGGGCCGCTCAGACGATCAAAGGGCAGAAGCTCTCAGGGCCGCGTTGCTGGCACCGAATTTCTCGCTCTGTCACTCGGAGCAGCCCAACTTTGTGAGCCAAAACAGTCCACGCAGTTTGCAGAAAGAGGGGGGACTGCACGTGACAAGTTTTAGCCATAAGATCAAGAATCAACCCCTCCAAAAGCCCGACTGCGGGTTCCCACAGGCGCCGATCACGGCTTTGTCGCGGTGCTTGCCCAAAAACGCGAGCGCAGGAGCAGTGATGTTCCCCTCTCCCAAAAGGAGACTTTGCTAAGGTTTGCTCCCTCTGTCCTTACCTCCACCGCTGTTTTGTAGGTCTGCAATTTGACTGCTAAAGGCTCCCAGATCCCCAGGTCCTTCATATCGGCCAAGGCTCCGGTCTCGCCGTTCACGCCCCAGGTCTGGCTGCCTTCCTGAGTGTGTTTGGCCTGGAAGGAGAAGGGAAAGGTCAGCACCAGAGGAGTCGGGCAGAAAATTCACCTTTCCTAAACTCAGACCGACCTTGGGCTCAGGAAAATAGGAAAAGGTCAGGAGAATTTTCTCCATTTTGGAGTTTATACAGAGCACCACTTGAAACACTTCACTATGTACAGAGCTGTGGTGAATGGAGCTAAATCCAGTTTGACCAGTCACAAGTGGTGTCCCCAGGGCTCGGTTTTGGGGCCAGTCCTGTTTAACATCTTGATCAATGATCTGGATGAGGGGACTGAGCGCTCCCTCAGTCAGTTTGCAGATGACACTGAGTTGGGTGGCAGTGTTGATCTGCTGAGGGTAGGAAGGCTCTGCAGAGGGACCTGGATGGGCTGGATCGATGGCTGAGGTCATTTGTGTGACCTTCAACAAGGCCATGGGCTGGGTCCTGTTCTTGGGTCACAACAACCCCATGGATGCTGCAGGCTTGGGGAGAAGCAGCTGGAAAGGACCTGGGGTCCTGGTGGCAGCAGATCCCATGAGCCAGCAATGTGCCCTTGAGCCAAGAAGGCCAACGCCATCCTGGGGTGCATGAGAAGGGGTGGTTGTAGGGCCAGAGAGCTTCTCCTCCCCCTCTGCTCTGCCCTGCTCACACCACAGCTGCAATCTTGTGTCCAGCTCTGGGCCCTCAGCTCCACAAGGACAGGAACTGCTTGAAAGAGTCCAGCAGGGCCACAGAGATGAGGTGTGGATCCAGCACCCATGGTCAGACAGTGGCCTTGCCGTGTTTCCTCACCATACGAGCGCTATCACTTGGAGCAGTGACCACTGTGGAGCATCTCCTGCTGAGGAGCGGCTGAGGGAGCTGGGGCTCTTGAGCTTGGAGCAGAGGAGCCCAGGGGTGCCCTCATTGCTGGTCTCCATTTGGAAAGGGCAGTGTCAGGAGGACGGAGCCAGGCTGTGCTCAGTGCTGGCAGTGCCAGGACAAGGGCAATGGGTGCAGCTGGAGCACAGGAGGGTGATGTGAACATGAGGCCAAAGTTGTTGATGTGAGGGTGCAGAGCATGGCCCACCCCCAAAGCCCTGGCCGTGTTCCTGTGTGACTGCTCTGGTGATCCTGCTCTGGCAGGGGTTGCACTGGGGGAGCTCTCCAGGTCCCTTCCAACTCCTGACGTTCTGTGATATCAGAAGTTGGACTTGGAGAAGTTCTCACGCTGCCCAATCTCAAAGGAAGATTTTGATTTTGTTCACCCTCAAGGTTTTGTCGTTTTGTTTTTAAACTCTGAGAAGTATTTAATTTCATTTTCATGCCACATTCTGGCACAAAACCTCAGCCAAAACAGCTGCTTTTCCAATGCTCAAAAAACCCCCAACCACGGCCTTTCCATCACCTTCAAAGGGTCGGTTACTTCAACAAAGCTGTCCTTTAATGTTAAAAAAAAGAAGCTACCCCCTTCAAGGGCCCAGGAGGACGCTGCTATGGAGGGAGGATGGATCCGAGGGGCAGGACACGGGAGGAAGGAGCCAAAGCTCTTGCACCTTACCCTGAGCGAGGTCAGCACGCGGATGGTGCTGGCGCCGCAGTTCTGGATCAGCGTTCGGGGGATGACTTCCAGAGCCTGGGCTACGGCACGGTACGGCCACTGCTCCACGCCCGTCATGCCTTTGGACTTCTCCGTCCGCGCGTGGGAGACGGCCA